GAGATATTTTTACAAAAACGGCATCGTATCATGGAACGATCCCGTCTAAAATCGTAAAACGGCTAAGTCACAAAACGGCTCGGAAAGTCCTAAAACGCGATAAAGACCTACTCACAACTTTAGACGAGATCCAGCCGAAACATATGATGGCGGTTTACCCATTATTCGCAGGAATGGATAAGTGTCAAATTTGAAGACAAAATCGAAGTTTTCCAAGGAAAAATAGGAAGATCGAGATAAATGGAAGATTTCTGATAAACATGAATCGGGCGGAAAAGGAAAGACCAGCCGCCTAGAGGAGGAGTATATAAGCAGAAGGTCGAAGTCAAGAGAAGAAGGACTTTTTCCAACTGTTGTAGACTTAGAACTCTCTGCACTTAGAAACTTAGGCTTTATTTTCGACAAGTTCGGTTTCTATGACTGGCACTCGATTACTAGAAGAACTCGCCCAGGCAGTTCGATATCTTGTCCGACTCTATCAATTGAACTACGTTCGGCTTGATCCTAGAAAGGAGTACGTAGACAGCCTTTCATAAGGTTCAGTCTAAAATCAATCAAAACTTTTTTTCTTATCTTTTTCGTCTTTTGTTATCGAGTTGCGACTCAACTAGGTTTACGGTTTTATGTTGCTAGAAATAGGTAACTCTCTGACAGCCCCTGTAGCCAAAGCTTTTACAATCTCTTGTAATGATCGCAACGCTCTTACGCGAATTCGAAATAAGATCTACTTTCTTTATAAATTCGTTTTATCATGTTTTTCATGTTTTCCGCATTTATTTGGTTACTTGTCGTTGGCTCTAGCAGAGATCCGGATCCTCTGGAAAATTAGGGTTTTCTTAAGTTTCATTACTTTATGAAAAATCGACAGTGCGAATTTCGGTTCCCAAAGTGACCGAATCTTCTTTTTCCACATGGTCCCCTCTGGTTCCCAGATCTGGGACATATATTCCATTACTCCCTGGAGTGATAACATACACCGTATTTATGAAAGCCCAGCTCCCGATCTACACAACCAGCAGAAAAGACTTTAACTCCGGCGAAACATTTGTAAGACCACAAGCTAACTTAAAAAAAAGGCTGGTTATGAAAGGTGTGGGGATTTGAACTCAGGCTTATTAGTTTAGAAATAGAAAATTTACACCACTAGACTAAAGAAGTTTTTGAAATTAATTGGCCAAATTTACTTTATATTATTTAGGGCCGGAAGCCTATGCTTCCATAGCTTCCCCACAGGGCCGGGGTGTGAGCAAAGTCAACTATGGAACACTATATTGTAGGTTTTTCGTTTTTGGGGGTCGTAACCATAAAGTCAGACCATTTTAGTTGTTGAATAGACAACTATTTAATAATATATATAAATATATGCAAATTGTTGAATTCAGTTATGGGTCTATGAGCCGACAACTACGTCTAGCCAGATAATGGGCTTTACCAGTCCTGTTTAGATACATAAAATGCAGCTAACTATCTTTTTCAGTTATGAAGTTTCGGGGACTTCATGTATGTTACTGGATTATGTATTTGTAAAGACATAAAAATATTTAAATTTACAATGATTCTTTTGTTATTCAATTACGACTTTTCAAAACAATGTTAAACTTGGTGTTATTATAGTTTATGTAGTTGTACTAAGTAGTTACAAGTTTTTAAAAATCTAGTGTTATTAGATTCAAGATTTTGAAAAGTCAGCCAAAGTCGTGTGTTATTAAAAAAGGAGAATAATTGTTTTTGACATTATTTTAAAATATGTTGTTATTAGTTAACTGATTGCACATATTTCTTCACAAAATCTACTAATCAAAGTATTGTATGTTGATCCTTTATCTTTTTCATCATTATCTTATGCACGGAAATGCTCGTTAACCTTCTAAATCAATGCGGAAAACCAGGACAAACTAACGAGAATGCGTGTCTCACAAGTTAACCCTCCGATATCACACCTTTTCTTTGTTGATGACACATTTTTCTTTTGTAGGACGAAACCCCGTGAATGCGATGAAGTCTTGATAGCCATTAAGACTTGTGGGAAAGCTTCACAGAAATGTATCAACTCTGAGAAATCATCTTTACTCTTGGATAAAAGGTACTATGGTATGTAAAGGAAACTACTAAAACATCAACCAGAAGACTAAATGAGGGAGGGATGAAATATTATCTTGGGATCCCAGAGAATATTAGTGGTTCTAAACGAAAACTATTTGCTTTTCTCAAATAAAAATTACAATACCGGCTCAATGGCTGGACATGGAGATGGTTTTCAAAGGGTGGAAAGGAGGTTCCCATAAAGTCTTTCTTACTATCCATGTGTACTTATGTGATGTCAAATTTATTGCTTCCTCTAAAGACTTGCAAGAAGTTAACTAGTGCCATTACACAATTCTAGTAGAGCTCAAATCCACCTAATAGATGTATTGCATTGGAAAAAATGGGAAAAATCTTTGTAGATCGAAAGAAGAGGGAAGGATAGGATTCAGGATGATACATGAGTTCAATCTCACTTTATTGGGCCAACAACTATGGAGATTAGTTTAGTTTTCAGATTTTGTACTAGCAAAGGTCTTGAGGGAGTTCGTCTTTGCGAAAAAAATCTGGTAGATAATCCCTCATATGAATGTACAAGTATTATGGTATCAAAACCATTAATGTCAATGGGAATTTGACAAAATCTGCAGTCATGGGATGATATCATAGTTTGGGAGAACGCTACATGCATGTCTTGCAAGGTCTATTGCTCTAGTAGCTCATCCAATGATGTCGGTAAGTGATTTTTTGATTAGGGAACAAAGAATATGGAATACGAAGCTATTAGAGAACTATGTCATCCCGGAGGACATCCCTTTGCTTCAGTCCTTGGCCATAAGCAAACTAGCCATATGGATAATTATTGCTGGAGCTATACGAAGAGTGGTATGTACACTACCAAATTTTGGTATTGGGTGACTACAAATTTACTCAACAAAGAAATAGTGGAGATGTATTCAAAACCGAGTATTATAAAACTCCAAGCCTTTTCTAGGAAGATCAAAGCACCATCGAAAACCGTTATCTTATATGGTAAACAATCTCAGGACAGCTAGCTATAACTAATAACTTAATACCTCATCATATGCGATGTGACACCCATCGTCCAATAAAGAAAGAAACCATTAACCATGCCATCTTTGAATGCCCACCAGCTATACAAGTGCGGTATTTAGCAGCAACCCTAACTCTGTCTTTGATATTCCCAGCTCATGTCACTACAAAAATATAGATTATCTTTTCTGGCAAATGAATTATATTGAAGACCCATATTTGGACAGAGATCCATACCCTTGGATAATCCGGTATATTTAGAAAACGAAAAATGACACTTTTTTAGAGGAATAAACATGGAGCCGTTGAAAACTGAAATTGTTTAGAAGACTAAACATGGACCCATTGAAAACTGTTAAACATGCATAATCAGAATGTCATGCTTGATTTGAGGCTAGTAGTAAAAGAGAGGAAATACCAGAGGATCGACAATCTTCAGGTCAAACCGCAGCTTCAGCATATGTATGATTGATGACTTATTGACACATGACACACTCTTTAGTGGTTGTGGATGGACATATAAGAATTCCAGAGGGGAAATACAACTTATGTGAACCAAAAAGCAAAGGAAAGGAGTTTCACCCTTGCATACGGAACTTGAGACACTTTCTTGGGCTATGGAATACGTGCTACAACCAGCAACGCTTCATGTTCTTTTTACACTAATTGCAAGGACCGAATCTCAGTTATTTAAGATCCAGGAGCATGACCAAGCTTTTTCATCGTAATAAAAGAGTTGTGAAGACTAAAGAATAAATTTACTGATTTCTCTATTGTATTTCATTCTCTTTCTGCAAAAATTGACTTCAATTCATTAGTTAAGATAGTAATAGCCTTTCATAGAGAGTTGTACGACATTACTTGTTATAACAACCATTTGATGAAAACAAAGAAGTTGGATCTTGATTATGGATTCTCAAAGTCATTAATATCTTAGTGACAAAAGGTGTAATAAACAAATGAAAAGAGGGTTAACAAATATCTAAAGTTATTCTAGTAAAGACAGTTAAAAATTAATTATGATGAATGAAAAATGGTAAAAATATAATAAAACACTTTAAAGTATGTAAGTGCTATTTTATACTTCTATTTAAAATATATTATTAAAAAAATTAGTCGACGAAAAAAATATAATAGATAATAACAAGAGAAAATGCTTAAATTTCAATTTTCATGTTTATCTTAATCACATAAATAGGTAAAGAAACACTTATAAGCATTGGGTTAACTAATCTAGATTTAGGATATAGATTTGAGCGATAGATTTTAGCATTTTACTAAATATATAAATATATATTTCAAATGTAAAATAAAAAATTTTAAATAATTTCGAAAAGAAATTTCAAAAAAAAATAATAAAAATTCAAAACGTTCAAAAACAAATATTAATGTTCGAATTTGAAAAGGTATAATTGAAAACCATATATATATATTTTATTATTTTTTAAATAATTATTTATATTGATAAATATGTATGGAACAATATTAAAAATATCTTTTGACTCTTAAATGAATCCTTATGCTTAAATATTGTTTAAAATGTTCATTTACTGAAGTTAAAGTACCAAATAAAACGTAAAAGTGAATTTCCTCATAACAAGAAACACAACACAATACAACATTATCGATCATGTATAAGTTAATAATTATCTTAAGTAAAATATTTAATAATCAGCAAAAGTTTTGGGGAAGAATTTTAAATTTATTAAACTACTTAAATTTAAAAATTTATCAAAACTCCTTTTAAATCACAAACTAATAATAGCTCCATCTGTAATTTTGTTTCTTTTTGGAAAAGCTTATCACTTAACTAAACGTTTTTATGTTTTACCAAATGTTTTTCTTCTAGTTTTTTCACTCTTACGTAACCTGAAAACAAAACTGTTCATTGTATTTACTGCTGTTTCGATTTTCTGATTAAACAAGTGATGTATGAGAGACAATTAAAACATTAAGGGAGCAGGGACATAAACTATTAGAATGAAAAACGTAAATTGACATGAATTTTGATCATTTACAGAGACGTCAGAGGATAGCAGCATTTTTGTATTTGTTTGTTTTTGTTTCTTCTCGTTTCTCCATCAGACAAAAACTACTTACACTAGAGAGACAGACATATATTTCAGAGGGAAGAAAGAAGCAGTAAAGAAATATCTGATGAAACATTGTATGGTAGACTCACCAATCCCTCAGCATTCACATCTCTTTGCTAATGTTTTCTTTACTCCTCGCACAATCTTAGCGAACCATATCAAGTTCATCACACCGAGCGCAGCTGGTACCCCAAATACCAGAGCGTATCCGAAGATGTGCATCCGCATGACCTATACCCCCAAAAACAAAAGTAAAACCAATCACATAAACAAACAAACAACTAGGATATTGGATAATATTGTCATGTATTGAACTCAATGGGGAGGGGTTTTAATGCAACGTTCGTCTTATATATGAAAGAGTACCGAGAAGGATATTATGAGTTTTACCTGGTTGTAGTGCAGATAGACATGATAAAACATGTATATGAATAGTAGAATTCTAGCAACCTGACATGAAAATAGAGTGATCAGTAGACACCAAAATGTTGTCGAATGTTAATTATTTTATTATGTTACCAGCCAAGCCAAGAAGATGAAAACGCCATTGACAACATATGCCATGGACTTCTTCATACCAGCTGTGTCCAGGTACCTTCATAATACCCCCAAGATAATCCGCTCGTTGTGTCAGAAGAAAGATTATTAAGGTGAAAATCTTGTAAGGTAGGTACATGGAAACAAAAGTGGGGAAGTACCATCTCAAGTTGATCTCTGGGGTTGTAATCTCGGAGATGAGAACCATGTATGTATACAATTGTCCTTCCCCAGAAAACAAGGAGTAGGCAACTGCTACCCCCGATAGCGAGTGGTGCACAATCTGAAATCAAATGCAAGGTTTAGCAATAGCATCTTTATGTGTTAGGTTTCAAAATGGATAAGCCGAAACTAAAACATCATCAACAGGCTGAATATTTGGGAAAAAAAATCAGTAGATGGAGCAAAGTGGTTGGTGAAGAAAGAGTTACTTACATACTCAAGTCCACCCAAAGAAGGATATTTCCAGAAGATCATCCCAAGATCAGCAATGAAGTAACCAATGGATAACTGCAAATATCATGTTTCAAAGATTCTTCTCTCAAAAGACTCAACATTAGCTTTTGATCACAGTTAAAACAAAAGCTTACCCCTAAACCAAGAGAGGAAAGACGTGAGCTCCGGAACACAACAAGATCGTTGTGCCACCTATCTGAAAAGAGATCAGACCAGAAGACAAAGTAGAGCGACATTGCCGAGATAAAGATAGCATGAACCGTTGAGATACCACTGCAGCCCAAACACACGACGAAACAACATCAACAAAAGATCCTAAATGAACAGAGAAAAGAGTTCACAATCCACAGACCGGTTATTCCATTCGATTCGCTGAATCTTGGTGAGGATGATATAGGTCTTAGAATGTGAGTTGCTGATAAAGTGACAAAGATCATAGACCTAAAAAATAATAATCAAATTTAATCAGACGGATCAGGACCAATCAAATCTGCAAAGAAAGACAGGAAACGTTTTTACCACTTTGCAGAGAAAAATGCCGGTGAGAATAGAGGTGTAAGGAATAAAAGGATCCGCCAAGAGGTAGTTGTTAACCAAATGCTTAGCTTGATGATGATAAGCCTTTATGGCACCAATCGTTTGCAAAGAAGTCGACGACATTGCAGATTGATTATTTGATTATACACAGATTCTGATCTATCGATTCCTCATCTCATCACCACCCTACACCCAATAACATAATCAATCGCTTATCTCAATCCAGAAATAGATTAAAAAAGAATAGAAAACGCCCTAATCTCACAACAACATGTATGAACCCTAATCTCAAATGCAGATTCAATAGGTGATACCTAGATGAGGAAGATCCCTAAACAATGTGTCAAAATCAACGAAACTCAGATTCAATCCAAGTCAAAATCAGATCCACGAAACAAGAAGATTTGGTACCTCGTGTAGGGGAATAAAATATCGGAGAAATGGACGCCCTAAGGAAGGAGGATCGGCGGCGAGAAAAGAGAGAGAGATAGTGAGAGAAAGGAAGCAGCGAAGCTTTAGCTTTAATCAATGCGAAATGTGAAGGAGAAGAAGAAGAAGATGAGAAGAACACAAAAGACTCGTCGATCTGAGGGAAAAATAAAAACTACAGCTGGTGCACGAAAAACAACTATTAAATCAAATAAACTGTTAAATTAAAAAAAAAAAAAAAAAAACTAGAGTTAGGTACTCCCTCCGTTTCATATTAAGTGTCGTTGTAGAGAATTTTTTGCGTTACAAAATAAGTGTCGTTTTCGATTTTCAATGCAAAATTTATTAATTTTAGTATGTAAGTAGTTTTTCTATTGGTTAAAATATGGTTAGGTGTATAGGTAATTGTGTTTTTATATAGGAAATATGTAAAATTAATTGTTTCCTTAATCCGTGTGCATAGCTACAGAGTGACACTTATAATAAAACAGAGGGAGTATTTAATTTCAACTAGGTTCTATCATTTTAATATAATAGTACTGACTGTATATGCCATACCTATGTTAATGGGAATGATTATACGTTTAATGTATGTAATTGGGGGAAAAAACATGAACCAGACATCTAACAAACAGAATAAAAAATAAATATAGTTCGATTCGTGTGAATCACTTCTACTACCATGTCTTTTTCATTTGCTTTGGTACTCTCTTACAACATTTTTTTCTTATAATATACGAAGATATAAAAGGAAAAGTAAAGAACAAGATGGTCTGTTATTATATAATTTCATTATCTGGCGACTAAAAATTGCATGTGACATTTTTGTAATTTGCAAAACAAGAGCATGCTGCAAAGATCGTCACATGTTAAGAAGTAACAAGTTATTTGAACAAAAAAAAAAGAAAAAAAAAGAAGTAACAAATTATTTGAAGGTAGATTGATGATGTAGTAAACAAGATTGTGAAACGCAACAAACCGACCAATCAATGAGATTTTTTAACCGTTCTCAGTAACCACAAAAAAAAACTTTTGAAATCGTCCAGACAATTCACCTTCAATGATTTATGTTAAGTGAAATATCTTTCTCATGGTCCCATAAATTATCAGAAAAACAGAGAACCCATGACTGAAAAACATCAAAAGGCAACAAGAGGCTCCAGTATGTTATTTTGTATGCATGTGTCTCTCATACACTCATCTTCACTCAACTTTTGTAATAGAAAACTGCATGATCAATTGCAGGATCATTGCCAAAAAATAACCAAATAGATAAGAATCAGTGACGTTTTTCTGTATGCATATGTCTCTCAGTGACTCATGGTGACTAAATACTACAAGAAAACTCGTCCTTTACTAGGACCATTTTGCCTCGTAAGTTCCTAGTAAATGGTTATTTATTAGGAACTTATGAGGAAACGCGTTTCCTCGAAACATGTTTATCGTAAAGCCTTTTTCCTTGTAAAGTCCTAGCTAATTTATGAGGAAAATTTTCCTCGTAAACGCGTGGATACGTATTTCCTCATAAAGTCCTCGTACACGTTTCCTCGTAAAGTCATAGTAACACATTTCCTCGTAAACTCGTAGTAATACTTTACGAGCAACTTACTAGTAAAATTTACGAGGACTTTACTTCGAAAATATTATGAGAAGTTTACTTCGAAATATTTTTTCCCTATTAAAAAATATTAATTATAAATTTAAATAATAAATTTTTAAAAAATAAAAAAAACCAAATTATAAATAAAAAATAACTAAATATTTTATAAATAACTAAATATTTAAGTTTTAAAATTCATAATATATAATTAAATATAAAAAAACTACGGATGGTGCTCGTTAAATTGCCGAACGAAGTCGTCCCAGTTCGCCAACTCCTCCTCCGTCGACTGTGACTGTGACGGTGGATTATGCTGTTGGGTTGGAAGCCCTCCGTTTTCCCGTCTCACACGCAACATCTAAGCTAATTGCGGGTTTCCAACCGCCAAAACGTCCAGGACATCGGTGAGAGAACTCACATAAGACTGCGTCGCCTGCAACTCCGAGCGCAGCTGAGCAGTGACATCGTGTTGTTCCTGAGCATAAGACGATGTCGCTGTGGGGACATCGTTAACGGAACCAATCCCGACGATACGTCCCTTTTTCCTAGGGGTGACCTGTAACTAAAAAGATTAATAACGTTAAAATTTTTTTTTAAAAATAATAAAAATTAATAGAAAAACAAATTATTTACCTTCTCGTAAATATTATCCCCTTCAAGAGTGGATAATATGACTGGTGTCCCCGACTACTGAGTCAGTTGGGTCTGGCGTTGGTCAATCCGAGCAACAACCTCGTTGTAGATCCGCTCGGATCTAGGATCTACAAAATGCCCAGCCTTGTTTCGGTGGGTCATCTCGTAAATCTCTTTCAGAGATGGAAGAACTTCTGTCTCTTTAACCTAAAATTAATCTTTAAAATTAAATATTAATTAGGAATATACAAATAGAGTAAAAATTAAATAGTTATTAAAAATTAATTTACCATGTCTAGACGGATTCCCCCGTGAGGTTTTCGACCCCTGGTGTGAAGCATCTTCGTGTTGCCATGCTCGTCTCTTGTCATGTGGTTCTCGGAGTTTGTCTAGGAGGTTCTGACTGAGTCCGGCAACCCCCAGTATCTGAAGAGGCCATCCACACGTCGAATGTGAGGCAATCGGGTTTCCCCTCCTCGTAACCATCCACCTGAAAAAAAATAAATTTAAAATGATTTGAATTAAAGTCAATGATATAAAACTATACATATAATTTATAAATAAACACCTGAAAGTCGCCCTTCCAGTTGTATACCATGTCGAGCAATCGCGCTTTTTCCTTCGCCTCAAACTCCGTCTTCATCCGCTGGTGAATCCCTATATACCAACGATATTTTTGTTGTAACTAGAAAAAATTAGAGTAATTAGTTCAATAATATTAAAAAATTTAAATAATTAAAAATAAATTAAGTTTATTAATTAATGACTAACATCGAACGATTTGAACCACGTCTTTTTTGTGTGGCTGGACGTCTTTTTCCAGTTTGGAGCTGGATCGGGAAAGTATCTCTTGATACAATCCGTGACGCTCTGAGCGACACATCCGTCAAGGCCAAACCTGGAAAGAAAAAAAACAGAAAAAAATAAATTAGATTAGTCTGTAAATTTTTGGTTAATTAAGAAATAAATTAAAAACACTTTTTAAAAATTAAAATATACCATAATATGTTGTGGCCGTCCCGTCGGATATGATCTAACTCAGGCAGCCCTTCTCTGCCTGGAAGGGCCATAATATCTTTCACCGTGTACACCGCAAATGGAGCGTTTGGCGGCACCTCCAAATTGGGATGAACCCCGGTGAGTCGGTGACCGGTGGAGGAGGAGGACGAGGTGGAGGAGGAGGAGGAGGTGGATCAAATCGGGGAGCCGTAGAAACTCCCTGAGTCTCGCGAACAACATCATTCGGAATCGAAGAACCGAGAGCTGAAGAAGACGATGCGCCTATGTGAGGACCAGGCTGACGACCAAACATATCTTCGTAATGACTCCCCTGAAGAGGCCTCTTAGCCCTATCAGGCTTGCTCTTTCTAGTCATCTAAATTTCAAAAAAAAAATTAAAACATTAATATACTATTATCATTTAAAAAAATTAGAAAAACTAAATTAACATAATCTAAATTCCCTAAACTAACCACATAATCTAAATTCCCTAATTTAATCACCTAACTAGGAAATAGAGAGAACCTTAAGAGGATTTAGAGAGAAGATTGCTACAAATGAGAGAAATTGGATGGCTCGAGTTTATATAGGGAATTTTGTTTCCTCGTAAGGTCCTAGTAAGTTTACGAGAAAATAGCTATGCCCGCATTTAGAGTTTCGAGGCCTTTACGAGGAAATAGCTATGTCCGCGTTTTTATTTCCTCGTAAAGTCCTAGTAATACTGTTATTAGGACTTTACGAGGAAACATCCTTTACGAGGAAATAGCTATGCCCGCGTTTATTTCCTCGTAAAATCCTAGTAACAGTATTACTAGGAATTTACGAGGAAACAACCTTTACGCGGAAATAGCTATGCCCACGTTTTCTGTTACTAGGGTTTTACGAGGAAAGGGTTTGTAAATCCCTAAACTCGAAACCCCAAACCACAACTTCCTTAACTTAAAACCTCTTCTACAACCAAACTCCAAACCTCTTCTACACATAAACCCCAAATTCAAATTGATTTTGTGATTAAACAAACATAAACATACATATAATTCAAATTCATTTTTGTGATTAAACAAACTTATAAAACATACATAATTCGTTCGGATACATTCTCGTAATCTGATGAAACATCACCATTTTCGTAAAACTCATCCTCAACACCTTCGTCCGTCGAGTGATCAGGAACATCTTCGTATTCACGATTATGCGGATCAATGAGTAGGATGTCATCAATTTGTGCTACATGTTTCTCGATTTCATTGGTGTTTTCTTCTTGTAATGGTGGTTCTTCTCCAGCGATTATTCGTCCTCAAGGTGTAACTTTGATAACAGCTAACCAGTTTATTCCCGATGTAGTAATCCGAGGGTATGGAATGAAGTAAACTTGATCTGCTTGGGAAGCTAATATGAAAGGCTCGAATTTATTGTACCTGCAAAAATAAAGACAACGTAGAAATTAATTAGTACTCGAAACCTGGATGTAAAAAAAAAGAGGATTTGTTGTACATTCGTCCACCATTGACATTACTTACACCGTTCTTATTAATCCAAACACCTCTGTTGACAACGGGGTCGTACCACTCACACTTGAAGATAACGCATTTCAAACTCATACCTGAGAATTGAACTTCATAAATCTCCTGCAAGATCCAGTAGAAATCTGTTTCGCCTTTCACACATATTCCATAATTACTTGTCGCCCGGTGTCTACCATAGTCATACGTATGAAAAGTATAGCCTCAGGTGAAATACATTGATGATGCAGTGACCTTTGCAACTGGAC